AAACTTAAGAGCTTTCATGACAGCGTCAAAAATGGTGTGCCATAGCTTTTGCAACAGTTTGAAAGTGACAATATTTTAAAAAAAAGTAATATTCGAAACTAGGTAATGGTATTTGGAATTTGAAATTATATTTGGACATGCATTTCATTTGAAAAAATGGTGCAGATTTGTGAGGGGAGAAAAAAAAATTCTTAAAATTTTGAAAAAGTGGGTTTTTCGCTGCAAATTTACGGACAAATACATTTTTTTTAAAACAAATTAAAAATAAAAAAAATTATGGACAAACGGGGCCTAAATCTTGCTTCTAACATTTCCTGAGGATTTGGTTCTTTTCATTTGTAGGCATATTTATATTATAAATTCTTGTCGCGTAAAATTCTAAATATATATATATATATATATGTGTGTGTGTGTGTGTGTTGAAAACATTATATTTTGTCTAAAAACCCTTAAGGCTCCTTTGGTACCAGAGATAATTAAGGGATAATTAGTCCCAAGATTAAATTTGAGATGAGTTTATCTCATGTTTGGTTGGAACAAAATCGCGGTATAAATAATTTCGGGATTAGTTATCTCGCGATTGTAATGTTATTTTTACCCCTATAGAAGGGTAGGATAACTAAATCCGAAATAATTAATTCTGGGATAATTTGTTTCCCAACTAGACGACCCATGTGTGATGGGGCACTGGTTGAACGGTCCTCTCATGCGCCTCATCATCTTTGGGTCCGCCTCTAGCGTAAGGGATAACTTTATGTTAAAAGTTGGTCAATAGTGGATAGGATTTAGGAGTAATCGAGACAACAATTATAAAAGCAAAAATATTGAATTATCTTTCTTTTGAGATGAAATAAAGAATCCTATAGAAAAAGACTTCATTGATGTGATCGGAGAAAATGGTCCAAATCTGTAAAACGAATAAAATATATCTAAAGCCAAACCTTTGTAGGGTATGATCACTCGAATGCAAGAACTACTTTTGCTAGCATAAATAATAATAATGCCCTCTTGGAGCAAAAATCCAAAATTTAATAGTTAAGTTCTTGGCTGGAAGACAGAAGAGCACTGATTCATTCCCTTTAGTATCTTTTTTGCTTTCTCTACCAACAATTTCAAACATAGCCCCACGTCAATTTCTCTACTAGTTAGTCAGGGCCAGAGCCAGAATTTAAATTTTATGGATTTTGAATTTACAACCGAACGCGTTAATTAGTTATTGGGTTCGCAATTAAGTATTTATACATATTTAATAGATTTTCTAATACAAATATAGAGTCTAAGAAAAAGGTAAAAGGTTACTGGTTCGTCTGAACCCGTAAATAACACCCTCCCTCCACCCCTGCAAGTAGTTCTCAAGTTCAAGCTTTGAAAATGGAGTAATCCGTAATAAGAGTGCTTTTCCCTTAAATTAGTCCTACACGGCGCCAATTTGAATTAGTCATACTAGTAGATTCCGGATATTATTTGGTTCTTATGTACAATTTTTTGTTCTTAGGCACAAGCTTAAAATGTGCTCTAGATTAGTCTTTAAACTCTGAAATCAGCAATGAGATCATTAGTGTCTTGAATCATGGTTTTGAACAGGAATTTTCTTTTTTGTGGAATCCTTGAATACTAGCTTTTCCTCATTCTTATCTTTAAGTCTCCTCTTATTTCTTGGAGACTTTATTTAAAGTGTGTACATATAAGCAATGAGGTTCAACCTTTTTGCTGACCATGAATATATATATATGATTATAAGTCATAGTTATGGGAGCCTTGGCGTAACTGGTAAAGTTACTACCATGTGATGAGAAGGTTACATGTTCGAGTCGTGAAAAAAGTCTCTTGCAGAAATGCAGGGTAAGGGCGTATAGTAGACCTTTGTGGTCCGGCCTTTTCTCGGACCCCACACATAGCGGGAACATAATGCACCGGGTTGCCCTTTAATCAGAGGTGTATCCAGTGTAGAGGCTACGGGTTCATCTGAACCAATAGTTTTCGTTCATACTTCATATTTTTGCCCAAAAAATTTATTAATATGTATAAATAATAAATTTAAAATCTATTAAATTAAATGAGATATGATAAAATTACGAATCTGAACCTATAAAATTCAAATCCTAAATATGCATTTGACCTTAGTGAAAGCATTTTTTTTCTGCTATACTTTCTCAGTAAGAATCAAGGAAGCTTCATTGGAAAATCAACCTTCATTCAAATGTCAATTATTGTGACAAATTTGGTATTATCTAAAAGTTAATATCAACATCATAGCCACTGAATTGGACATTTGCTTCAAAATGCAATCAACTCCAATTACTACTAAGGGGTGACCCTACAACAATACATCATAATTGAGACCTGTTTAAATATTCCAAAACTAGGTCCTACAAAAAAGATGATTGGAGCACTACTACCCAACTTGTTTTGCCATGTACAAAGTTTGATATCCTTAGCATTTTACAGTTCATTATTGTTGATTGGATAAATTTATAGACCATTATTATTGTATCAAGGATCTAACCTGTATACATTAACAGTACTAAGAATTTTACATTATCAACGTACTTTAACCATTGTAGCAGGTAATCTAGGTTATTTTCCAGGTTATTGATTGCACATTTTATAAACGATTATCTGTTGTTTTTTTAGGCGACCTGATAATATGAAATTCACCTTAGAAGTGAAACTCTTGTATCAGTTTGAAGCTAATCACATCTATGACATTACTGCAACTATTATCATAGTATCAGAAATGAAGGGGAGTCTTGGCGTATCTGGTAAAGTTACTGTCATGTGGTCAGGAAGTCACGGGTTCGAGCCGTGGAAACAGCCTCTTGCATAAATACAGGGTAAGGCTGCGTACGATAGACCCTTGTGGTCTGACCCTTCCCTGAACCCTGCACATAGTGGGAGCCTACTGCACCGGACTGTGTTTTTTTATCAGAAACATTTATACTATCTGCCTTTCTAGCAGACTTTTATTGACTTTCAAGGAAATTACTGTGCTACTTCAAGCTGATGAGAACAGCAATACAGACATAAACATCTTACAATCATATATTATTGTGACAGGATGGAGCCACAAGCATGGGAAGCTACTACTTGTATATGAGTATATGCCAAATGGTAGCCTAGACAAACACCTTTTCTCAGGGCCAGATAAAAAGCCACTCAGCTGGCAAGTCAGGTGTAAGATTGTTTCAGGCGTCGCCTCAGCTCTGCACTATCTACATGATGAGTTTGAGCAGAAAGTGGTCCATCGCGATCTTAAGGCGAACAACATCATGCTCGACTCCAACTTCAATGCACGCCTCAGGTGATTTTGGCCTGGCACGAGCACTTGACCACGAGAAGACCTCGTATGCTGAGGCTGAAGGCGTGCTTGGCACGATGGGGTACATTGCACCAGAATGTTTCCACACTGGAAAAGCCACTCAACATTCTGATGTCTATGCATTTGGAGCAGTGTTGTTGGAATTAGTATGTGGCCAAAGACCTGGAACTAAATTTAATGGCTTTCAACTATTTGCCGATTGGGTTTGGTACTTGCATCGCGATGGCAGAATCCTCGAAGCTGTTGACACGAGTCTCGGGGATGATTATGTAGCTGAAGAAGCAAAGAGATTGTTACTTCTCGCTTTGGCATGCTCTCATCCAATTTCTAGTGAAAGGCCTAAAACACAGACGGTAGTTCAAATTATATCAGGGTCAGTACCAGCACCAGAAGTTCCACCATTTAAACCAGCATTTGTGTGGCCTTCTGTGGTGCCAATTGACATTGATATAGACTCGAGTCTTGTCGATACGATATCCATTACAACTCCTCAGTTCAGTTCAGGAAACAACAGCGTTGAGAATAAAAGCAAGTAGAACTAGCACCATAGCTAGGCACTTTTATGGTGTAGTTATACTTTTTATAAACAACTATTACCAACAGAGAAAAATTGGTTTTGCTTTCCCTTTAACGTTTGCTTTCCTGTAATTATGTTCTCTGGTGAGGCTGACAAAGATTTTCTTCTGTTTTTCCTGGGTTTTTTTCTTCTTCTTGTTTTGGTTTTCTGTAATGACAAGAACAGAAGCAACTCATGTACATTTCTTTAATCCAGACATTACGTTAACTACCATCCTATATATTGTTCCCTATTTATGATCTTACTGATTTCAAGTGAAGAATCAAACATTGGTTGTTTTTGCTAGTACCAACATAAGCTATGTCTAAGAGAGATTGGACTGTATACATGTCCCCATATTTTCCACATATGCAGATTAAGATAAAGCAGAGGGTATATTGAGGATATCTTACTACTGAAAAAGGCTTTCACGGGAAAGGGTGAAGCTAGCGTATCGGCCATAAGTTCAACAGAATCCAGTAGCTTTGGTTCAAATTATGTATGTCTCTTAACTAAATTTGTACAAATTATTAATTTTAAATCCAATTACTTAAAATGCCTAGAATTTGAACCCATAAACCTTAAATCTTGGTTCGACTCACAAGAACGGAATATTATCAAGCACCCTTGGCTACTTTGGATAGTATTCATAGTTCTACATATTTAATTTCTTACCTATTGGGCTTCCATGAGATTTCAGGTACATTTCTCGATCATATGTGTTATTTGTTGAGTCCCAAATCGGTGGAATTTGAGTTTCTTGATCTCCTTATATGGTCATAAGCAATCTTCACCTCATGTGCTAGCTTTTGGGATTGAGTTAGGCATATGTCCATTTATCATGATATCGAGTCGGGCACATTCCAATTTATTGTTATCGATATTAGGCCCCCATTTAAGCTGTCCACGCTCCAGTTTGCAGTTTGCAAGCCTGGGCATGAGGGGACGGGGGTTGAGTCCCATATCGGTGACAATTGGGTTTCTTGGTCTCCATATAATCTTAGACAATCTTCTCCTCATGAACTAGCTTTTGGGTTGAATTAGGCCAAGGTCTATTTATCAGTGATATCTTGGTCCTCTGATAAAGGAGCAACACATTGGTTTTTCGGAATAGGTAATCCACATTAACAAATAACAAATGCACTCACAAAAGTTTTAACTGCATTGACAAGTTTACATCTTCAAGATTCTTAGTCTAAATCATGTCTGTCTTGCGCTTGAGTACAGTGATTAAAGATTAACTCATACAACAGCATTGTAATACAAATGGGAGATGGATTAAATCTCTACTACACAAAGAATTACGCCATACAATTGAGACGGGATTAATTAGGCCAACGCTAAAGAAGCCAAGAAACACGGTATGAAAATTGAGACATCTGAGCTCTTGGGGAGCAGAGACTTGGAACCACACTTTCTATATCGAACGATGACAACAGTCAGTACTCAAGTGACCCTATCGATGGCAGTCCAGACATGAAGTCCCGACCATCAGCACTATTACTGTTCATCCTTTCAAGTGAACCACGATTTAGGGTTTCAACCTCTTCCTTCCCCAGTTTCTGCACATCCTCGGGTGAAAGAATTTTGATATACCAGACATTGTTGACAAATGCCCTGAAAATAACATGCCAGAAATGGAAAAAGTGAATACCATGTCTTCATTCGGACAAAAGAAGGTAAAAAAGCCATTTTCTGAAAAGTGTACTCTACCACAGGGCTGAAGAACAAAGGTACTAGAATTCCTTATTGAAAAAAAAAAAAAAGAGAAAAAAGACGAATGTACTAGAATTGATATATAATCAGCCAGAGGCTGAACTACAACTGATGGAGTGGTTAAATGGTCAATTTAACACCCTTTGCCAGAAGAGTATATTGTGTATAGAGGTCAAATATTACTTTCTATAGGAAAAAAAGGTAGCCCAGTGCACGAAGCATCCCGCATTTACACAGGATCTGCGGAAGGGCCGCACCTCAAGGGGTGTGATGTAGCCAGCCTACCCTGATGCAAGTATCAGTGGCTGATTCCACGACTCGAACCTGTGACTTGTAGGTCACACGGAGACAATTTTATTGTTGCTCCAAGGTTCCCCTTCAAATATCAGGTTCTATACATACATATTAAATCTTGAACACCATTAGCAAAATTCTTGGCTTCACTACTGTAATTAGCTATGAGTACCAGACATAGGAATACCCTGTGAGTTTTAGCAAATAGGAACAATAAAAAATGACATGTGAATGATATGGACTGAAAGCATAAGCTCTTCATTCCATCGTATTTGGTAAATTTTGAGCAGAGATAAAATGTAATCTCTCTAGTAACGGGGTACTTACTCCCATGGGTCATCTCCAAGGAGAAGGACATCATTCTCCCTGTCAACAAATACAAGCTGCCAGCCTGATCTTTGAGGGTCTTCAAGGAACCCTTCAATCCCGAACATCTGTCCCAGTTCTTGCCGTAGCTCATGATAGCTGTTGAACCGGGTGATATCCAGTGACCTCCCAACAGACCCTGATTTGTAAACCTGCATAGAGAAAACAGCTTTATCCGCATAATAGTCATATACAAGAAAATGTCAATGAAATGCATAACCTACACATCAGAATTTGCACCTTGACAAATGTACGGGTCGCATTTAGTGGATCAACTTGTCCTGCATTATGCAACAAGTCAGAAGAGTCTTGCACATAACCATATAGAGAATTCTGAAATCCAGAAGTCCCTAGTGGCATAGCGGACATATCAGCATCAATTGATGTAGTAGAAACATTGGACACAGTTGTCGGGAGGAGAAGCCCTGAAGAATCAACATTAGCACCAAAAAGAGTTTGATTCTGGGCATCTAAACTACAAGTTTCCTGTGAAGTGGAAGTATCTTTCCCATATGCCGGGAGTGAGGATGAGTTGGAGCCAGCATTCAATTCTGAATGCCCAAATTTTGACATCCAAGATTTTTGAGGTGGCTGCTCCATGATCACAGACTGCTGACCAATTCTATTGAAATTCAAAAAGTTACTACTTCCTTCCGAACATAAAGAACCTAGCCCCGTTGGAATGACCGATGGAGCAATAGAAGCTGCAAACTTAGAGTTCGGATCTGCGAAATCCGGCTTTGAAAATGACTGAGAAGGAATGTTTGATGGTTGTTTCTGCTGGAGCTGGCTATGTGATATTTGATATGGTTCCCGGTAAGAATGTTGATGAGCCTGGTCGTCCAGCTGATTGCCGACTTGTTGCTGTGGTTGCCTTCGAACGTTATCCATTTGAGTTTGAGCAGGCAGCATATGCTGATGAATAGCCTGTTGCTGTTGCATTGCTTGTTGTTGTTGTTGCTGTTGCTGCTGCAGGAGGGGATTATGATTGCCTGCGTGCTGAAAATATTGGACAGGCTGCTGAAACTGCATCAGTTGCTGTTTCAGCATATCGCCACTCCCAAAATTTTGCAAACCAGTAGCCAACATAGCTTGATACTGCTGGTTAAGATCATTTCGGAGAATAGTTGGATCGACTCTTTGTTGCATCCAGGGAAGCATGCCAAAAGATTGAAGATTCATCAGATGCGGCCCTTGGTCACCACCTTCCCCTCTCAACCATGCCATTCCATTAATAGCGTCACTGTTATTTTCTGCAAAAAGCAAGGAAAAGTATTTACAACAGTTCCTCCTGAACAAAAATAAGCTGAAGGTCCAATAATGAATCATTGATACTACTCCCTCTGTCCCAAATGCGATATTTTTCGCTTTTCGAGATTCAAACTTCTTACTTTTGACCGTGTATTTGGACAAAGAATCTTTAAGTTTTTCAAAATTTATTACCTATTCGGAAACTACGTAACAAGTACTATAAGACACAAAAATTAATAATTCATTTAAAAGACATCATGGAAAAATTGCGGTCAAAGAATAATTCGTTTTACTCTCGAAATTTGAACACCATCACATAAATTGGAACGGAGGGAGTGCTAAAGAAAGATCTTTTTTTCCTCTTAGAAGGCCCATCTGACGGACAACAAAATTTAACAAATTTTCCAAAAGTAGTACAAGGAAACCTCAGGCTAACCACATAAACATTCAGCGCACTATACCTTGAAAAGATGAAGTTCCTGGGTACCAAGGCCGTTTTAGCCTAAGAGGGAACAAAGATGGATACATTGGGAAAGTAGTCAAAGGCTCTATCTCCCATAGTGAAACCCTGGGTTGCCTCTCGCCTGCTGTTGACTCATCCCAACCGACCTACAATTTCGTGAAATTCCTTGTGTAAGTAGATGTGTGAACATAGATAACTGTTTTTTTTTAAGATCAACTATTCTACATTTGTAATTTCCCAGCAAATGAGTTTTAACAAAAAAATAGAATCTGATTGATACATTCTTACATGAATTCTGGGTCAAGCGTGTTCTATGCAATAATGTATTTTTCCTTGCATTAAAGATAAACGATGTTGTGTGATAAAATAACAACTTGACATAGTAAAGAAGTTTGATGCAGAAATTTGAGAGCGGGACATAAACTTAAATCACTTAGCCTCTAACTATTAACAGTTTAATGTGTTTGAATAGCTGATAACTGGCAAGCATTTAATGCTGGTGTAAGTTAAAAGCTTACCTAAGTTTGCAACAAAGTTACAATCTTTGCCCGTAAAGGAACCATGAGTTCCGATGAAAGTATGTCATTCTAAAATAGACTTACAGCCCGAGGGGTTCATGAATTGGGTGATAAGCCATCAGGCAATTCAGCTTCAGGAAACATCGCCAAGGGTCTAAGATATTTAACAAGGTTTATACGCAAGGATGATCTAAGGTTCATATTTGATGAGAGAAGGTATCAGGTAGCGCTATTCTTAAAATGAAGATAACGATAGAAGGAACAGGAAAAGAGGTATCAGTTCAAAGGTGGCTTCCGCTTGCGCAAAAAGAGAGGGAGGGAGGGTGGGTGCAAAGTAGATTTCCAATGTAAAAGAGCGTAGGTTTATTTCTTCAATAAGCAATAGAATTAAAAATTAGCTGGGATCTAGTACAAGAGTACACAGCTTTCATCCATGATCCAGAAGGCAAAAGCAGTAAAAGCACATAACCAATAGCTAATGTGCACGCTATGAAATACAACTATGCTGCATGCAACATAAACCAAAGAAGATTAGAGTTCGTGAAAGGAAACATGAAAGCATTAATGACTGAGAAGAACAACGTCTAAATTTCTTAATGATATGGAGATCAAAGTAAAATTTAAGGCCATTGCGATATGTGTGCAAAAAGAGAGTTGAAATGCAATAGCAGCAAAAGAATGAGAATAGCATATATAGAAATGCTAATGACTATGAAAATGCTAAACTCATTTACCTTGACAGAGCGCCAGTGGGAGTTGGCCCAGCGAACCGGATCTAAGTCACCAATGCCAGTAATTGTGCCCATGTATCTGAAAAGTATCAGACCCACACTCATTAATCAGCCAACTTGCTATTTCAATTATATCCATAATATTATGGCACTCAACATATTCCACTAATGGAGTTTCGATGTAATTGGTTAACATATCCCACTAATGGAATTTCAATGTCATAGGTTTATATACCTGTACTGACCACTGACTTTGCGTTAATACTCTAATGTTACTTGTTGCGAGCACAAGATTAAACAAGACATGCAAATCTATGAATAAAACATAAAGAAAGTAAGCAACTGCAGCCATAAACTTGTACATTCATCTGAATTCATTTTTTCCTACATTATTCGACATTATGAACAAAATAAAGGAGCCGCATCAAAGAGCCACTCTGATCTGTCTTATGGAGCCAGATCCAAGTGCCACTTATCTGTGGTTAGGTATCAAAAGCTGCTTAACGATCAATCAGTAAGAAACTAATATGCTACTTACAGCTATGTACACTTTTCTTTCTTCTAAACCGAAGAGATTGGAGAAATCGTAACACAAAGAAAACAAGAACTCATTTAAGGCCAAATACTTCCATACCTTCGGACACTTGATTCTTCAGTTTCAAATAGCATCCGGAAACGCATTCCAACGGAAACACGAGTGTGATATACAGCTTTAATGTATTTTGAAAGAGGTATCACAAACTCAGATGGGCTAGCCCTGATGCAATAAGCATTAGTTCAACAGGCAGAAAGGATATACAGGCTAAAGAAACACATAAGGAGCAGACAATCATTCACAACACCTTGGGTTGAAAAAAACAGTGAAACAGCTATTGGTAGCGGCAGCATGAGCAGCGGCAGCAAGCAATCCAATGTGCATGCTGTCACTAGACAGAACAGATGATGGCATCACAGTTTGGGGTCGAGTTGCACGACGAATTCCCAGGAGGAGCTGATTTTTCTCATTCCTGACACGATAACGGTGAAAACCAATGAGAGAAAGCCCCAGGTAACGGCACGGCTAGATGCTATACCTATGGGGGAAAATCTAAGATAAGTTTATTTGAAAAATAAATAAAAGCTAAAACTACCAAATGAAAAGAACTGAATCTCCAGCGACAAGTCTTTTGGCACTAACAAACACACTCCAGCCAGTCGTAAGAAGATGCCGCTTAGGCTGTCCTGCATGCACAGACACACAAATATAAACAGGTTTCAAAGTAAGTTTTATGATGCATTATGTTCTTGCTTCCATGGGCAATCAGGAATCATTATTTTATCCAGCAAATGAGTCAATAAACAAGCTATGGTAAGAACAATAGCACCACGTTACGGTAACAGGATTAGGATGAAAAAAGAACAGTCCCATATTAAAGTAAAAGAAGTAGGATGTCAAGAGCACATAGCCAAGTATTCTGAACCATTTTGTGAAACCTTTTTTCATTTGGATGTTCAAAAACTATAACGTAAGTCTAAAGAGTATAACAATCTATATACCATTTACATGTACCAAGTAAAATTAAATAAACAATTGATTTTGAAGCAATGATGCAAATCTTGCAATAACAATAATGTTCTTTTGCCACCGATATAACCTAGCTTGAACTCCTTAATATTTTTGCACACGGAAGCTGTGCAAATAATTGTAGATAGATGGATTCTAAGCTGCTCGGACTCAAGTGTGGATATCTAATACGGGTGCGGATCTAGAGGTTGGATCCTTCATGATCTAAATTTTAAGATTCAGGGGCACAGATGCGGAGATTCGGATAACAATAATTCAAACATCTAAAAATAGAGTTATAAAAATATATCCAAATTATGAGTCACTATTTGGGAAACTTAAAAGGTATTTTAAGAAGAAAAAAAAATAATGATCAAGAGGAGAATCCGAGAAAGAGATAAAAGGAAAAGGACTCACATAAAAATTTCTATATACAAGGTATTTCTTTCAAAAACCATTGTATTTGTCCCTAATTTCTCCATCTATTTTGGTCAAAGTACCAAAAAGGGTTGACCAGATCTAGTACGGATACCACTCACAGCCACACCTACATCGTGTCAACATGGGTGCGGCACCAAAAGTGAAGAATCCGAGCAACTTAGGATAGACTAACAGAAATAATTGAGCTGCATTCTCATTCTATAACCACCTCCATTCTGGGCCATCCACTCATCTACCCAAATCAGGCTGTTTTTTTTTTAATGTTTTTTTTTCAAGTACAAGTATGTTCTCTTAGTCAGGTTAATTAACCTATGTGAACTTCATATAGAAAAATTAGTTCCAACTTGAATTCCACATTCACACAACAAAACGAGAACTTGTATAGCATCCCATCCAGAACCCCACTATTACTACAGAGCAGATCACTAATCCTCAAAAATTATCATCACAAATTCTATCCTACAAGATTACAATAGCGCCTAATCCTGCCTGCAATCAAAGGATCATGAAAAATCTCGGTAACCATTTCAGGAACCTATAGAGAAAATGTACGAAAACTTTCTGCCTCATTTTTTTGGGTCAGAAAGCCTGGACAGCACAGTATCAGAGACAACCTTAACTACTCTCTGCCTCTTCATTTGATATTATCTCGTTCGAGTTAGGATTTAAAATGTTTATAAGCCAAAACTAATTATATTTTAATTTTCTTCAGGTTCTATTTATTCCCAATAAACTATTAGAAATAGTCCGTCATTCAAGATGTTTTGTTGTCTGTCACCTCAAACAAAGAGAATAGCATCTCAGATACACCTTATTTGAAGATTACATGACACAGTACAAAGAAAAGAATGAAACCGACTATTAAGTTCTCTTCATTAATTTACCCCACAATTCATATAATGAACCAAAGCATACAAGTTTTAAAGAATGAACCTCAGAAGCTTTTGGATGGGTGGACAAAGTATTTTACGCAAAAAATGGCTTCAAATTACCGGAGTATTGACAAGGAAAAAGATCCTGATTTCTACTCCATTTGCATCATTTTACACCAGTTACTACACACAAAACATGAAATACATTCTGCAAGTCCTTCTCAAGTGTGGTCCTCCACTTAAAGCAACTATTAAGATGTGCATATATACATCATATGGCAACAGAAAAAATGACAACATTAGTCCCTTATGTTTGGGGGTTGGTCAAAAATAATCCTTTAAATATGCACCTGAGCAGTAATAGTCCTTTATGTTCACGAAAGCTTTTAGTCTCCGTTATATTTATAACATACTGCGATAGTTTTCTTTGACAAAATTGGCTCGTGAGAAACATGTGCGCTGTTTAAACTATAAAGCCCTAACGGGTGCTATCCCGTTTGGACATACATGCTTCTCCGGACTCATTTCCCCAATTGGCTTGAATAACATTTTTCTTAAGGTACGAATTGGGAAAAACGAATCCGTAGAAGCTCGCCCCCACGGTCTTATTCAATTTAAATAGCTCACATGCTTCTCACAAGCCAATTTCGTCAAAGATAACACTGACATGTGTTTTAATAATAATAGAGACCATGAGTGCTGAGTTTTAGTAAACATAGGGATTAAAACTGCTCGTGTATATTCCCGGCATTAACACAACAACTTTCATAAGGATATAACAGTGTAGGGGAGTATGAAAGATAAAATATCAGTCCTACATATGAGCCACTACCCCACTTCTTTTTTTCTTTTCTTTCCACCCAATTGCTTCAAAAAACAAAGAGCAAAATACAAAACTTATTAGTTGTCTATCTTTTCCCATCAAATGTGTTGTTAATGTACATTCAAGTCACAAAAGCACCTAAATTCTGAAGGAGCCTAAACAAGCAAGTACAAAGGAGGATTAGAAGTAAATATTGTTTAAAGAGAGCACATATCTAACTGTGTTTATATCTCAATCTTTCTGCAAACTTAAAATGAATGCCAGCTGATATATAAAAGTCTGACACACTCAAAACAGTGTAAAACTATATATATAAAAAGAAAATAGCCTCTAAAGCTTGCCTCGGAAAATATGCCTGAATTTCCATTCAATGTCATGCAGATCCCTTGCAATTAATTCTTGGCAAGGTGGTGTTTGTGAGAAATCCTGGGTCAGAAGAAAATGAGAATAATATCAGACTCAGAACCAGAGTGGTATTTAAAATACGAGAACATCGGACCAGTTATTACCAAAGGAGGGAAAACTTTCTCTGCAGCACGACGAGGAACAGAAAAGCCACCATGCGTACTGGTATCACTTGCGGTGAGTGTCTTGCAAAAATAATTAGTAGGCTGCCTGCTAGGAATTCCCAACTCAACAGGAAGATATGTATCCTTTTGTTCTTGCTGAAAATACAACACGGTATTTTGTCATCCAATTCACACAATGTATTTTAAAAAAACAAGAAAATGAGAATGTCGGGTTATGAAGTACCGGTGTCAAGGGCTGCAGCGTCATTTGAGCATATACTTCATCTGTTTCAACATCTGCCTGAAATTTCAAGAATTGTCAACTCTTCATAAACCAATTACAACTTACTCAGTAACAATTCATAAGAAAACATAGAACATAAACAATGAACTCACATGCATTGTGACATTGTGAAGTTGACAGATCAACTGGGGCGGCAAGTTTGGGTAATTGGGTATGTGAGCATCAACTTCTTTATTAGTTGTTGCCGCTACCTGGCACTCAATTCCATTAAAACCATCAATAATTGACCAATTAATGAATAGATCACTGCTGCAACTATTAGTGAACAATTAATGAAGAAGAGAGAAATGTGGCAAATGAAGAAGGACCTGTTCACTATGTCCCTGAGGAAAGTAAACCACACGACTCCCTACCGATGGTAGGCATACAAGAGGACCAGCACAGGCATGCCATAGCTCAGAATTCAAACACTTCTTCTCTCCTTTTCAGAAGCCACAACCAAATAAAGAATCCATCAGCATTAATTTAATTAACTGAATACAACAACAACAAGTACGCCTCAGCTATATGAATCCTCATGAACGATGTTACTTCATTTAATTAAGTGAATTCATACTTAAATTTTCATGATCTTTTTCTCAATTAGTAGTTTAGCTAAAGACAAAGCATAAGAATAAATATTAAAGGACAAAAATTATGCAGATAAAGACAGTGATAGTTAATAAACAAAAAGCCAAACCTGAAAAAGAAGACACCAAAGGAAGAAAAAGTATTATAGAGAAGAGAAGTAGAAGATACCTTCATGAGGCTGCTGACTCAATCCTGATGTTGAAAGCTTCATAATTTTTTAATCACACTTCCCTTTAAATAAGTAAAAATCTAAAACACCCTCAAAAATATGATTATCAAGAAAATTATATAAGACCCTCAAAAACCCAATTCAAACCCTAAAGTCTCACACCCATTCATCACTTTTATCCTCAACATACCCCACCCCACCCCCACCCCCAATTCCCACCTCAATTCCCACATGCATTAACAAAAAGACTCCTAATTTCAGCTCATCATCATCAAAACCCTAATGAAATCAACCCAGTTCACAACACTTCTTTTTCTCCAACACCTCCATTAACAACCCAACAAAACAAAAACACCACAAAAAAAGATTAAATTTTGAGGAATACCCTTTTCTTGTTTTTGTTGAATAAGCCAAAAAAGCAAAAAAGATCAAATTTGAGGAATACCCTTTACTTGTTTTTGTAGAATAAGCAAAAGTAAACAAAAAAGATCAAATTTTGAGAGGTATTCTGAAATTTTAAGAAAAACCCTTTTCTTGTTTTTGCTGAATAACTAGATTTTAGCTAAGCTAAGCTAAGTTTGAGCTCAAGAAAAAATCTTTTCTTAAGCAATCACTGTCTTTGAAGAGAGAGAAAATAAAGAGGTCTTTTTCTGTTTTTATAGCACACCCGACCAAGCTAGACCTGATAGCAGTAGAGAGAGAAACAAGAGAGAGAGAAGACTCTGTGTGTGTGTGTGTGTGTACAGAGAGGTTAAATTAATGGCTCATTCTCTCTCTCTTTCTTGCTCCGTGTACTCTATCAGAATGAAGTTTAAGGAAAATTGAATCACAACCGTTGATTGAACCGTATATGATGAATCTTGGCCGTTGAATTGGGAAGTATGATATGACAGGAGGCATGTGCCACCATTCTTCAGTGGTCATTGTCAGAGTACGGACCGTCCAATATAATATTGCACATGATCAAGAAAGAGAAAAAAAGAAAGAAAGAAGAAGAAGAAGGTGAAAGATTTTGCATATCTAAGTGGAAAATACAAAGAGTGGCAGATATTTTTATCCCTGCTTTAGGTACTTGTGCTCTTATGCATTAATGGTTGTACCTTTATCTGCTGATGTCATGAACCAGAGCGAAATTAACAATGCGATTTACATTTGAGGCGGGAAGGACTCTCTCTCTATATGTATAAAAGGTTTTAAAATTAATTAATTTTATTATCTTTTATAATATAAACAAATTGAAAAAGATGAGTTTTGTTTATAACAACAAAAAAACATCTAAATATCAATAAAATATAAGAAAAAACTTGGACAAACGAGCTTGTTTTAGAAAGGTTTGATTATATTGTAATTTTGTTACAGGAATTAGGGAAAATAATTTCATGCATAACTTATGCATTGTTTGGTTGATCGTATAAGAAATATTAATTCCTTCGGCATTTAATACAGCATTTAATAAGTGATATTTAATAATAAGTGATATTAAATATATATATATATATATATATATATGTGTGTGTTGCGAATAAATATAAATAGAAATATGTGTATTAACAATATTTAAATAAAAGTATTTAAAGGTACAATTATCCTTAAAGTAGATATAACATTCTTGATATTATTATGCACCGCATAACAAATCCAACATTATTACTCATTTTATAACAATTTTTATTGCATAAACAATTCATACATCATAATCTTTATATTACTACCGCAATAACCAAATGACCCGAGCAACGCGGATGTGAGTATAGCCGTCGGATTTATCTGAATTCAGTATTTTGTCGCGGAGCATAAATTTATATATAAAAATTTATTAAAATTGTAATAAATGGTAGGTCTGAACCTATAACTTTAAAAATACAACGAATTCAATGCTGAAAATGTTACAAACTAACCCTATAGAATCTTAATCCTGGATCCGCCCGTGGACTCGAGAGATGTAGTCATCTTGGGTCTCCTGTGCAACATACTTTAATAAAACAAGGACTATTTGCACTTATTTTAAATGAAACATGATGAGTATAATAATACTCTCTACGTACCAATTTAAAAATTTTGAATTATAGAACTCAAGGGAGTGATGGAGATATATTAATTAAAAAATATGGAGAGAGTGGGGGCAAGGTAAAATGGTCCATGCCTATATTTTGCTCTTTTGCTACTCCTATATAATCCTAGGAGAACTAGGATTAGGAGGGGACCAAATTCTTTACTGTCAAAACCCATAGATTTTATAAACTTTGATATAGATACTCTTTCTCTGTTGTGAAAGGGATTTTCCATGATTAAAGGATCAATTATATTTACAATTCCGATGTTGGAATCTATTTTGACTACAATTTATAGCTAGCGACTACACGTAATTTAAGGTGAGTTTTGTGTGTAAATTTGGTATGCCAAATATATCACACACTCTTTATATGAGCTAAAATTTTGCAAAGTAGTATATATATTTTTTTAATAAGACGAATGATTTGGTATCAAACGCCCTCTTTTTACCAATATGGTTTGTAACGGGAGGACAGGAGCCCTCCACTCTTAACAAGAGGGCAGGTTCGAGCCATGGGTACGAAAAGAATCATGTTAGGAAGCATTTTTCCTTTAAATAGATCTTATACGGTGCAAATTAGGATATAGTCGGGCTCTAATACGGATACTTAATATCAGGTAAAAGTTTTAAAAAAATATAGACCAAAATTTTAAAATAACAGTAATTTGTTACAATTGATTAGATAATAATAATAATAATAATAAAATAGTTACATTGTCAAGACATATAACTNTATATATAACAAGATAAAGGAGAAGTAAGAGCAAGAAAAGATCTTTGAAAACATTTGAACATAGATTATTCAGCAAAGGGCCAAATATACCCCTATATTATGAGAAAATATTTGAATATACTCGTCGTTATACTTTGGGTCTAAATATATCCCTGCCGTAATACTATTGGTTCAAATATAATCTTTTCTATTAAGTTTGTCCAAGGTGGACATCTAATCATACGTGGCACTAACATTTGATGTGGTGGATGTGTCATGGTTTGCCATCTCAACGCCTCTAATCCATATGTAAAAGACTAAAATTTAAAACACAATATTTTTTATGGTAGTGGTAATGGTGGCAATAGTGGTGGAGGTTCCGTGCTGCTCACTACTCCTCAAGGCCAAGGACGAGGTCGAACCATCATTCCAGGATTTGCAGTCCGATACATTTTCATTATGTTATCTAGCCAAAACCCGCCACCTCATGTGCCAAGTCTAGTCTACCTTTCAATCCACAAGGATCGGGATCAAATGAATGTGTATTCTCTTTTTGACAAGTGAAGATATACTTCTAACCTCTCAGTAACCAACGATCACGCGAGGCAGAAATTATTTAGTTCGGATTTTTCTGGTAAAAAGGAAGATAGGATTCCTGATTATAAGCCTTTTATAAGGCAGGCTCCGGCGGGTCCCCTGGTTCTCTATTTGGTTAAGGCGGTCCAAGTACGTATCCAATGAGAATGCCCTACCTTTAAGATAGAAGATCACCCCCTAATCTAGTACCTTTCCTCTAAAATAGAATCTTCTTGAACCCTATTCAAATGAAGGGCTTCCTCTATCTTAAGCTTCATTTTGAATTGGGTCTCAATTATTGCCTCATAAATATCTTTGGGAAAGGACACTTGATAGTATTTATGCAAAGACGATCCCTGAGCTCCCGACTCCTCTGTACGTCCACCTGTAACGGATGATAAACCTAAACAATAGGTGATACGTGTTCACAGGGTTGGGAGAGTCTGGGGCCTTATTTTTCATGATAGTGGTAATGGTGGAAATAGTGGTGGAGAGAAAAGAAATTTTAGTGGTGGAAAAAAAAAATAGAAGGGAGGGGTAAAATAGGTTATGGGCGCTAAGGTGGCTTGTCATATAGCATCCATCTCATCATATGTCAGTGTCATGTAGGATTTTGGATGTCCATTTTGGACAAACTTAACAAAAAAGGAGTATATTTGAATTTTGAATCAATCGTATAATGATAATGATATATTTGGACTCAAAGTATAAGAAGGGGTACATTTAAACCTTTTCTGATAGATATTTGGCCATTTTCCTTAGATTATTTGGTGTAGGAGAAAATTGCAATCACTTATAAACTACAACTTTATGTTGAAACTCATAAAGCATCAATTTCTGGCTAAACTCATACAGACTAATTTCAAGTAAAATTTAAGAAAGCAAATGCATCTTTCTCATGCATACATTAGAGGATGTTGTCTAATACGCCGTACCACTTTTGGTCAAAAGTTAGAGACGAAAAAGTATGTTGTGGCCACTAATTTCTTCCCCTTCCTTTTTTTTTATCCCACTTTTTTGTTTTCAAAAAGTACACTGAAAAAGATTATGATAAGGAGAAAATTTGCTCACCATTAGAAAAAAGAAAAAGAAGGCAATGGTTATGCAGTACGTAGTTTCCACAGATCCCAATTCTAGTCATAGTATAGCATTTCTTTCGTTTCACCTTCACAATCAAGTTTCAAATATTTACTTTTCTTTTACGTAGAATTTTCTATAAAATGTATCGATATATAAAGATGTGAGCAATGAATAAATTATTATAATAATAAGCAGTGTCATTTTTTGTAACGATCCGGCTGGTTGTTTCGAGAATTATAACCTCGTTCTCCCCTTTACTGCTCATTTTGTACTTTATAGTTGTTATGTGGCTTGCCGGGTTAGTCGATTCGGGTCCGGAGAGGTTTCGGAATGTTGAGACACCTCGTCTCAAAGTTGGAAGCTTAAATTGAAGTTGACTTATGTGTAAATGACTCCGGAATGAAATTTTGATGGTTCTGTTAGCTCCATTGGGTAATTTTAGACTTAGCAGCGTGTCCGGATTTTGATTCGGATGTCTATAGTCGAAGTAGGCTTGAAATGACAAAAGTTGAAAAATTGAAAAGTTTGATCGGGAGTGGACTTTTTGATATCGGCGTCGGATTAGGATTCCGGGGGTTGGAATAGGTATGTGGTATCAATTGTGACTTGTGTGCAAAGTTT